ATTCTTCAGTGATCTGGAAATCCATCCTGGAGTCCAGTCCCCCAGGATGTCCAATCCTTTTGTAATCATTTGTTAATTTTAATTATTTTAATTTCTTTCTTGTATACTTGTTTTATTAAAGGGCAGAAAGAGAGAGACAGAGACTGAAACAGAGACTCCAATGTAAGATGACAGGCATCCTAATCATTGTCTTCAATGCGAGGTTAACTGCCCACACTCATTTTGTAAGTATTAGTCTGCCCTTTTAATGTTTTTCCTGCTTAAAACATCTTGTGGTTTCTGTTTACTGCAATGAATGGTAATTGGTATTTTGGCTTAAGGTGAGCTATAAAGATATACTGGATAACATACCTGAAACTCCCAGGCCCAAATGTGACTTCAGACAGGTGATGAAGGCCAATGGCCTCACTTTAGCAACTTCAAAAAGAGCTACATTGCTGACTTAATCAAGAGCAAAGGAAAAGTTCTATTTATCATATTTGCACACAACTGAGACTGAAACAGTAAGTATGAGCTCCATCCAAAAAGTACAATCTGAGAGAACAAGGTTTTCCTCAAGGAAATTAACATGCCATTATCACAGGAAGAAGAAATATATGATTCAAAACTAAACAATGAATGCCTACTCTATCTTTTCTTTAAAATGAAAGCACTTCTTGGAGGATTGTGATTTTCTAAGTCATTACATGTTAGTGACATTACTTCTTTTCAGTTTTAATAAATAATTGTTCATGGAAGGCATCAATTTAAAATTACTCATTAAATTCCTATAATGTTGTAGACTATTATCTCTATTCTTATGAATTCTACAGACCAATAGTAAAGCAATTGCATGACTCATTACAAGTAGAAACAACAACTAAGATATCCATCATAAGCAGAGAAAAATGCCACTGACACTCAAAAGAGTGAATAATTACCTCATTTGGGGAAATCAAAGACAGCTTCATGAAAACAGGCATACCTTACTGCAAACTCTCATGCTAGGTTGGATAGATCTCATGGAAGTGGGAGGAGGTCAACACAGGTAAACGATAAATGAAGTAAGCAGATTAACATATTGAGGAGTTTATTAGGAAAAGTGTAACAAAGATTTTCCAAGCACTGTGCTAATGTATCTATAATTGCCATTTTGTGAGTAATTCATAGTATGCCCACATGGAGAATTGAAAACAATGACTTCAGACTACTTGGAGAAATGATTCAACATGGAAAAATTTGGTGATTGATGTTGTCTGATTTGTAATTTATTTATATCTAATCCCATTTACAAAAGGATTTGAGTTGGCTGACCTGGCAATTGATTGGGTATGTGGGCCAGTGTGAAACAAGAGACAAAAATGACATTCAATAAATATTTGTCAGAAAATGAATTAATTTAGGGAGCTTTGGTGAGTGGAAGATGGAAATGCCACTACAGGAGTTAGACAAGTCAGGAAGGTGTTGATTTGTAGAGATAACAGGAATTGACAGCAAGAATATTAAAGTAGACACTTCTTATGTTTGTAACTGCCTGCACTGGTTGTACAAAAAAAAAAAGGCAATTTAGCTACCATGCAGCAGTCTTCACAAACTATGAATAATGTCCCCATTGAACTTTTATTGTGGACAGCAAGCACAGTATCCTGAGAAGGACAGGGCATTTCTCTCCCTAAGTAGACAGACAGCAGATGGAACTGACTTTGCCCATGGCATAACAGGATCCTCAAATACTCCATTTTTTGCCATTCATAATTAGGCTATTACTTTGAGCTACTTGATGTCTGGGAGCACACACTGCATACCATAAAAAGTATGATGCTACTCCTCCTTTTTCCTTTTTGCAGAGTGTTCATGAGTTGTCACTCTTCATGAACCTGGACACACTGATGATATCATTGTAAAGACTGTCTCAAAGAGGAGCATTGAATTCCTCATTCTAGAAACAGTTATATTAGTATGTTGTTTAAGGGCAAGAAATATTTCCAACATTTTTTAGTAAAAACAGAAGCTGGATATCATCTTGAGTTTGTACGTTAAAAGCAAATACAGGAAGCGAAAATATTAATGACTTACCTATATTAGCAAAACAGTTGTAATTTGAGGCATAAACCAAACCTAAGCCTGATAAAAAGCAATGTTTTTAGCTTTCTACATTACACAGCATGCCCATGCTTTGTCCATAAGCAGCAATGAAAAAAAGGATAGACCATTCCTGCAAGCTTATAAACAAAGCACTTGCCAAATTGTAGTTCAGTTTAGCCAGTTTAGCATAGGCATTGCTGTCAAATCTCAGATCTACAGGATCCCCAAAGCCCTGGCTATATGCTTAGGATACATTTGTTTTCTAGGCACATCCCAAGTACAACGTCTCAACCAGGTACATTCTCTGAAGACAATATTTATTATTTTTTAATAAATTCCTTTTGCAGTTGATAAAAAGAATTCATTTTTTTCTAGAAAAGTAAGCCTCCAATTTTAAATCCAATGTTTATTTGAAAGTAATCTACATATTTAGAGTACTCAGTGCTGTTCATTATAGGAGTGCAAACAAGAGACTTTAGGCCTTATGCAACAATTTCATGACTTGTCTCTGATAACAAAACAACAATATTCTGTGGTTTAAATCTTTTCTTATTCACATGAATATGGTGAACTGAGAAGGATAGTTCATCAAGCTTGGATCCATAGATCAAAATGTGCTCAGCTGCAGATCAATTATAATATTTAAGTATTTTCATGACTGCTGAATGGGATATGTTGCCCTGTGCCTGTGTTATTAGCTTCATTGATTTTTAGAGAAAATGCAGTACTTAACTTCAATCAGTATAGTAGTTCAGTAGTTGAAGGAAGTTTACTTTTTCTTTGAAATACTCAAAGAACATAAAATACAAATCCAGCCATGGAAGGTTCACGATGATAATTTCCCAAACAAAATGTCTCAGAATCACCTATCATTTGTGCCCTAATCCGAACTGATTAGATCATATCATAAATCAGATGTGTGCGTTTAGTCTTACCTTACTTACAGATTATACTGTGCAGTTAGTTGCAAACAACTATTGATTACTTTAAAAATAAATATAGATCCATTCCCCGGGAGTCTCCACTGTTTCTTTTGTTTAGAAATATTCGACGTCTTCTACTTTAAATACTGATATGTTGTGCCTGGCAAGTGATATGCAATTCACCAAAAGATATGGAAGCTTTTTTTTTTTCCAAAGAAAGCTTTTGTTTAATGAGTACAAATTTCATAAGTACAACTTTAGGAATATAGTGGTTCTTCCCCCCATACCCACCCTCCCACTCCCACTCCCACTCCCATACCACCTTCTCCTCCATCTACTATCCCATTCTCCATTAACACAATAAAACAGCCTAAATAGAAAACTGGTGATTAATGGATTCTCAACAACAATGAAACTTGGTGAAACCTTTGTCGATCTCTCTTGCCATCTATACATCTAACTAGATGTATAGTTGTTTCTGTGTCACCTGCCATCAGTTACTTAGTAGAGCTCACAGAGATATTAGAATCTCAACATAACTAATGAAAGAAAGAAGATTCTCCCTTGTTTGTACTTAACTGGAGCCATGTTGGAGGCTTATTAGGGTTAATGGCACAATGTTTATAATGCATCTTGAGCTTTTTGAAAAGGAGTCAGTATAAATTTTGAAATATAGATTTTTTTATTTATTTGACAGATATAGTTAGACAGTGAGAGAGAGAGACAGAGAGAAAGATCTTCCTTCCATTGGTTCACCCCCCGTAATGGCTGGTACGGCTGGAGCTATGCCGATGCGAAGCCAGGAGCCAGATGCTTCCTGGTCTCCCATGTGGGTGCAGGGGCCCAAGAACTTGGGCCATCCTCCACTGCCTTCCCGGGCCATAGCAGAGAGCTGGACTGGAAGAGGAGTAACTGGGACTAGAACCCAGTACCCATATGGGGTGTCGACACTGCCGCAGGAGGAGGATTAACCAAGTAATCCATGGCGCCAGCCCCTGAATTATAGATTTTTAAATTTACCTTGCCTTCCCTTCAGAATGAGTCTGTTTTTGCCAATTTAGGTGACATTTGACCAATCAGCTGCTCTCAACAACTTTATGACCATCACGGACAATATATGGCTGATATTTCTGATTATACAGACAGTAATATGAGGAATATTCTACAACCTTCTAAGGTCAAAGCAAAGCAATTTATGGAGTTAGGAGCAGAAGCAGATTGCACAATTCCATTTCTACTTCTCAGGAACATCATTATCTGAAGCAAAAATCACATCCAAAGTTCATCTCCACTGCCAACAAATCTAAAATCATGAGGTCTGTGAGCAATAGTGCAGTAGGCAATTAATGGTTGCCCTGTATTTTGAACCACTGCTTTCAAACATTTACACAGATCAATATTCACAATCTAGGATTTTTTTATTCTCAAGACTGTTCTGATAAAATATGGATTTAGGAGCTGGCATTGTTGTATAGATGGTAAAGCTGTCACTTTTAGTGCTGGCATCCCATATGGGCATCGGTTCGAGTTCCAGCTACTCCACTTCCAATCCAGCTCCTTGTTAATGTGCCTGGGAAAGCAGCAGATGATGGCCTAAGTACTTGGGCCCTTGCACCTACATGGGAGACCTGGAAGAAGTTCCTGGCTCTTGGCTCCAGACCAGCCCCTCTCTGTCTGTTGTGGCCATTTGGGGAGTTAACCAACAGAAAGAAGATCTCTCTCTCTCTCTTTCTCTAATCCTGCTTTTCCAATAAATAAATAAACCTTTAAAAAAGAAGTAGATAAAATAAATTATAGATTTAGCTTTGTTACAACATCTGAAATGGAATTAAGAGGTGAAACTTCCAATCAGCTTTTCTATTTTTTCTCTTCTTTTATAAGTGCTCAATTTTGGCTTTTGTAAGTTGATATTAATTAAAAATTTCCAAAAACAAAGCCCCATCTGCCAATGGCTATCTCTTTTGTCTTTTTGTACTACAAATGCACTGAAAGCTTTTGTCTTTGAGAACTTACAGTCAACAGATCCATGCATGCTAGGATGAAGGGCAAATGATACGCCCAATATGGTGTCAAAAGGTTGGTAGATTATGCAGTTCATCCACACTTGGATCTTCATTACAAAGATAGGTAAGAATATTACCCCAATTTAATACTTCCACACCACTCAAATAATTCAGACAGCTTTCTCATGTTCCCATGAGGCCCTACAAAGGAGAATAAACGCATGATATAAAACATTTCAAAATGGTTTAGCCACATAGAATTTTGGCACAACATTTTTCTTATTTTCTACTTGAAAATAATAGAATGGACTTGATAGAATAGTGTAGATAATGCTCAGGGGAACACAACTAAGGTACACAGTTCATTCATTCAGTCATGCATTCAGTCAACATACATTTGCATTCAACAAATACATTACATATTTATCCATTCTGTTAATAGAAGAATCTTTTACCCAATAACAGGTTGAATTTCATTAAATTTTGTTTCCTCTTTTTTTCCAATTCTTTATATTTAAATAAGCAGAGTGAACCTATAAAGAATTATAACCTTAAGAGCTTTTATAGTTTTTAAAAGTTTAAATGTTATTCTCCTGATAAAATAATTACTTTTAACTTTTTTAAATTTTACTTTGTTTATTTGAAAGTCTCAGATAGACCAACAGATATCTCTTATTTGCTGGGTCACTTGCCAAATGCCCACAAAAAGTCTGTACTGGGCTAGGCCAAAGCCAGGAACCCAGAACTCAATCCAGGTCTTTCAATGGGTACCAAGTACTTGAGGCATAACCTGCTGACCCCCAAGGTGGGCATTGCCGGGTGCATGGAATCAGAAGCAGACTCAGGACTCTAAGTTAAGCCCTCCAGCATGAGATGGAAGTAACCCATCAAGCATCCTCACCACTATGTCAAAGATCCACCCCAGAATCACTTTATTTTTTATTTTGACAAGTAGATTTATAGACAGTGAGAGAGAGACAGAGAGACAGAGAGAAAAGTCTTCCTTCCGTTGGTTCACTCCCCAAATGGACACAACAGCCGGAGCTGTGCTGATCCGAAGCCAGGAGCCAGGTGCTTCCTCCTGGTCTCCCATGTAGTTGCAGACGCCCAAACACATGGGCCACCCTCCACTGCCCTCCGGGGCCTCAGCAGAGAGCTGGACTGGAAGAGGAGCAACCGGGAATAGACCCCAGCGCCCATATCGGGTGCTGGCGCCACAGGCGGAGGATTAACCAAGTGAGCCACGGCACCAGCCCCCAGAATTACTTTTAATTTAATTTTATCCCTGATTGTTATTTTAACAATATACCAGAAGACTCTCTTAGCAGTACTGCTAAAATCCCATTGTTTTATGTTCAGGCTCATTGGTGTTATTCAGGTCAACAAATCAGTGACAGAATATTAGTAATATATTCATTGCAACTGCATATAAACTATGCCAAAGCAGGTGGCAGCTGCTTTCTGTTGGTAGCTCCTCTTCTCAGCTTTATCTATCATTTGAATGTAGTCGCAAACATTTTTCCAAAGTCTCTAGAGTTAAAGCATGGTCAAATAGCAAATATCACAGCTTGACGAAAATACATGCACACACCGATCATAAGAATAATATCTACTTTGATATGAGATCATATTTCAGAATCTATTGACTTGAAGAATTCTCCCCTGCATGATTTGGGAAACCTAGATGGAGTTCCTGGCTTCTGTCTGCAGGCTGGCCCAGCCATGGTTGTTCTGGGCTTTTGCAGAGTGAACCAATGGATAGAAATTCTCTCTCTCTCTCTCCCATTCTCTCTCGCTTCATGTGTGTGTGTCTCTCCTCCCTCCAACTCTCCCTCTCTTTCTGCCCTTTAAGTAAATATTTTTTTAAAAAAAGCAAGACAGCATTGCCAAATGTTATGGAAAAGATGGCTCATGGAATTCTGCTTTGTAAGTGGTTTGTTGAAGCTATTTGAAAGAAAAGTATAAACAGAGAATCACCCAGTTAAACAGCCCTGAATGGAGTGGTTGCAAATCTTGACTGTTTTCTTAACTTAGAAAATGGAGCCTAATGTGTAGAAAATGTTACCTTTCTATAGAAAATCAATAAAGTTAGTTTATTATGTACTGTTTTTAGGGGCTAAAATCGTGGTGAACTTTAAAGTGTGTAAGTTTTCTTTTACAAAACTGTGGAGGACACCAAGAAACAAAGTTCACCCTGTTGCTTAGTCAGGGGGCGTGGCAGAACTCCGGAATGTAAGATTGCTCAAAAACATCTGCAATTGCTGACAGTTAACTTATGGGAATAAAACCTTTTTTGTGTAAGTGATTAGATCCTCTAGGCTTCAAAGAGAGTTGTGGCATCTTAATTACTTTGAATATAAGTACTGCAGTAAAAACCAAAATATTCAAGGTGAAAATACACAGTAGAATTAAGCAATATTATTTTAACCTTGAAATTGAAGCTTTATCTTATCACTCTGTTATCCTGTAATGGAAAACTGAACTTATGTTCATCAGTATGCCTGATTACAAATAGGGAAATGGTGGGGATTTTCAGAAAACTCCTTTTGTTATAAATGAAATGTCAAGAGCCTAGGGTGATTACTGATGCCATAAAGAAGAGTGTCAATTTGTTAAGTCAACAACAGGAGTCACTGTGCACTTACTCCTCATGTAGGATCTCTGTCCTTAATGTGCTGTACATTGTGATTTAATGCTATAACTAGTACTCAAACAGTGTTTTTCACTTTGTGTTTCTATGTGGGTGCAAACTGTTGAAATCTTTACTTAATGTATGCTAAACTGATCTTCTGTATATAAAGAGAATTGAAAATGAATCTAGATGTGAATGGAAGGGGAGAGGGAGCGAGAGAGGGGAGGATTGTGGGTGGGAGGGAAGTTATGGGGGAGGGGGGAAGCCATTATAATCCATAAACTGTACTTTGGAAATTTATATTCATTAAATAAAAGCTAAAAAAAAACTGAAAAAAAGAAAAAAAAATAAATGAAATGCCATGATCATGGTTTAGATAGAAATATTTTATGGAGGATAAAAAGCATTTAAAATTCTGTTAAAAACAGGTCAACTTTCTTAGACTTGTAACTTATTGAATTATTTGTGCATAAAACATTTATGTTGCTTCATTTAAATAAATGATTAGACTATACAAGAGCCACTGCCTCAGATGTGTCTGCTGGGTCTTTTATTTCCATCAAGTACTTCTAGTGATTTGAGGACTTTTAAATGCAATTTGTCTTGAATAAGGAAAAGATCTGTAGATGAAATAACTTCAAGTAACTAGCTAAAAATAATGCTATAGCATTGCGAAGGAGAGACACAAACCCAAGAATTGAATAGATGTGAGAATTGCAAGCATTGAACTTAGACTTGAGACCAGTTCACAGCAAATTTATCTTTCCATCTTACTGCTTACTTCAGACTTCTATTTTTTAGCTTTTATGTACTTTTTTTTAACTTATTTGAATGGCAGAGAGAGTTACTGAGGGACAGACACACACACTTACACACACACACACACACGTAAAGAGACAGAAACACACACACACAGATCATCTAGGAATTGGTTCACTGCCCAGAGAACACAACAACCAGGTCTGGGCCGAACTGAAGCCTAGAGCCAGGAACTCAATCCAGGTCTCCTATGGGGGTTGCAGGGAACCAGTACTTGAGCCAGCACCTGCTCCCTCCTCTGGTGTGCATTTGCAAGGAAGGTGGAAATGGGAGGGGAGCAGGGATTCTAATGCAGGTGCTATGATGCAGGATGCCAGCATCCTAGATGGCACTTAAATGTTGTCATCAAAAGCCGACCCCTATTTCATGTTTTTAACCAGACTGAGAGAAAAAAAAAAAAAAAACCTACATCGATAGCTGTACCATTTTAGTGTACAATTGCCTCAGTGTGATTCAAGTAACCCATGACAAGTGATGAAGACAACCCAGGCTCAGGGGAACAGAGAGAATGTTTACCCTGCTTTAATACACACTAGGCAAAGCAAGGACCATATCTCTAAGCACCAGGCCAAGTGTACATATACTTTCTGCGACTCCAGTGATGACGTAGTTCTCCCTGACACTCAGTGGCAGAAAGCAGTCATGGTTCAGCCTGGGCAGCTCAAGTCCCATCAATTCCATCCCAAAGCAATGCAGAGTTTTGAATCAACTTGAAGAAATACAACAGGAAGTGAAAAGTTTGCTTAAAATAAGAACTACAGTCATGTTGCCCAAAATTCCTGGAAAGAAAAATTGAGCTGAGTTCGAGATAGAATGCACCTGTTTATTCTGTGGGTGCTCTAAGATCCCCTTTTCCCTAAGAAGTCATACAACTATGAAGCAGAGCACATCCTGAAAGCCTTATGTACGTGGTTATTGCCGAGCGGTTTCTCCTCTCTTCAAATCGCCCGTCATTGTTCATGTCCTCTAGCCAAATACTCAGCATTTATAAATATCAATATACTTCATCATTTTCAGTTGAATTAGACAAAGATTTATGCAAACCAAGAAGAAAATAGAGCATGAGAATTGCAAGAGTAATGCACCACGGACCAAAGTTCCTGAGGATTAAAAATGGAATTAACGTAAATCTATGAATGCGGAAGACAAAAGAAAACAGATTTAAATCAAATCGTGATCTGCATTTGGGTATTTTTAATCATTTTTTCCTTCAGTATACTCATTGTTTCCAAAATAAAAAGAGGTAAAAATAATTATTACAGAAAGTCACAGTGTTAGGAAAGGGTTCAAATGATCCATTCTCTTATTGTTTATATACAAAATGTGCTAAAGTACTAAAGTGCTGACAAATAGATTTTTGTGGGACTCCATGCTCTCAGTTAGATTCTACCCAAGAGCAATTGCATCTTTGGCAAGATCCCTACTTCCAAGGACAAAAAATGTCATTTTCTGTATTTGTGGAAACTCTTTAGTCTTTTCTGACTTTTTACCTTGTTGCTTATCTCCCTTGCTGGCTATTTTGCGTTTCTTTGCAGCTTGATTTGATCATGCTTAGCACACTGAGATCAGATTAATCTGGTTTTCTACTTTCAGGTCATTAACTGCAGAATATTCTAGGTCCTAGAAAATTACAGGCTTTTCTGACAATTTAACACACAATCTTTGAACAAGTCTTTTTCTTTAAATTCTCTGCTAAACATCTGAGAGTGAAAACACATAGAACAGCACATCAAATGTTCTCTATGAAATA